CATACAAGCCCCAAACAAAAGAAGCGCTGAACGCAAAATAGGTTAGTAACAGCATTGGCCATCTATAGTTAGCTTGCTTCTTGCTTTAGCTATGACCTACGGGAGGTTAACTCTGACTGTCATTCATTATGAAAAGATGAATGAGCATTTCCTTGCCAAACTTGTGGTGGTTGATTAACGTAATAATTTACGTCCCGTACATCACGTTAATTTTGGCTTTGGCTGCAAACAGGTTACAGGTTAATTGTTGATCATTTAATGTTACAGTTTTATTTAGTTAACGTTACACTGGGTTTGAGAGTCTGCGGTTAATGTGCTAGTTAATAAGCTGTCATTAATTGCATTAATTGCAGTTTTATAAGCAGCCTGGTTTGAACGCAGCAGGCGATTCAACATTCATTATAGCCACGAGAAACTTGAGACTTGACTTGGACTCTAGCTTGAAGACTTGAGACTTGACTTGGACTCTAGCTTAAAGACTTGAGACTTGACTTGGACTCTTGCTCAGAGACTTGAGACTCAGCCTAATGCTTCTCAGCCATCTCTACTTCTTCACAGGACATGGAGTCCAGCACGTTTGGATGTGCCGGTGTATAGAACTCTCTCTCCCACTGCCCCCCTCCCCCATCACGCGATCTGATGCGAACATGGAAGCCCCTTAAACCTGCATTCTATCAAACAGCCAGCAGGGGGCGACTCTTCTGGTTGCAAAAAGAAGTCCGGCTCAATTAGAACTAATGGTAAAATGACCCTACTTCTCAGTTGAATAATTACCTAAGTAAACACTTTCCTGATGAGTTTATGGTCTCAGTCGCTAGTCTTCTTCAATACAAAATGATGTTCATTTAGTAAATTATGGTCCCATTTATTTTAAAATAGACCATAAAGCAGAGTATGTTTCAGGACGGGATTATCTAGTCGTTACCATGGCGACCTGTCAATCAGGCAGAGGCGACTCATACCCATAGCACTGTGTAATGTGTAAATTTAACCAGTGCTGTTGAAAAAGCTTATTAGGAGTTGGCTGTTCACTTTCTCTGGTTAGTATATTTTGTTTTAAGACTGTTGTTCGCTAGACAAAGTTATCAGCCCTGATAAAATGACAATTAAGGTGAATTACAGATGCACCTAGCTAAGCAAGCTAGCTAGCTCCGCACACGGCTGTTAGCTCAACCGTCCAAATATGGTCAAGTCGGTTTTGGTTGCAAAAACTCAACATGGCGGCACCCTATCGGCCAAACTCGAGGCTTCAACGGCAGTCCACAAACCAAAGGGTGACGTCACGATGACCACATCCATTTCTTATATAGTCTATGGCAAAAGCACTAACTGTGGAACAATGTTGTGTGGCAATCTCCATACCACTTTCATTGTGTTCCATTTACAGAGCCAGGGCTGTGTAGGAAAACCAGATTTGTTTTCAGAGCACACAAAAAACAGAGAGCTAGCAAACCATGAGGAAATATTTGCTAGCACTTTTAACAAAAAGTGTATTGGATTACAATCTCTTCCGACCCCTTTAACAGCCAATTCCCCCAGAAAACACAACATGAAAGAAGGAAAAAAGCAGTAATTTCAGTCGATAATTTGTACATTGATGGCAAACTCTACTGTGAGAAAAATATTTATTTTCTATTTTCTTCATCTCTGTTCATCTTGTCTTTGACCCATATCTACCCATTCTCATACTTATTCCACTCATGTTCCACACCTATAGAACAATGCACACGTGCCCACCCATCTACACACAAACATACCCAGACACAATGCACATATGGATGTACACAGACATGGACAAAACACAAAAACTATTCAAACAACAGACTCCCACATACAGTCACCATAAATTCGTTCATGACGTCATTGGGCTGTAACGACGCCGTCAGCTTAACGGAGCAAAGTGATGTGAACAATAAAGTTACTAAAACAACACAACATCAACGCTGCAGTAAAACCTTCACAACCTCCACTCTTCACTCAGCCAAAAAGGTTGTTAACTGCAGCATCTGCAATGCTGAGCTTTCATGGAAACACCGTAGCATCTGAAGAGGAGGCACATAATGTTGTTGCTCTGTGGATGATGAAGACTCATCTCGGTAAGCTAGTTAGCAAGCTAGCTTCACATTAAAGCCATGTTACTTCACGTTATAAGCTGTAACGTTTAGGGATCGACCGATATGTTTTTTTCCAGGCCAATCCCGATCCCGATTATTAGTAACCGATATGTGGAACCGATATACATTTGCTGTAAAATCTAATAGTAAATTAAATGACTTAGAGATCCACAGAGATTGATACATTTATTGATTGATTATTGATTTGGTTCTGTTCTTTATCTATACTCTAAATACTCTATACTCTATACTCTAAATAATTGACTTTTAAAAATATTATTTAAAAAATAATATATTCAGAACAGTAATCAAATTTAATATATTATTATAACCAACTTCAGAGCAGCAACAAAAGTAAAGTTTACAGCAGCAATGTAACAATATAAAATCAGTATCTCACTGGAAACAAATGGAGCATGTTAAATACTATATTACTGGCAAGAAAATACTGAGTAAGGGCCTGTGTCCACCAAAGTGTTCTTTACCAGCTGAAAACAACAGCTGCTCTTCTGAAAACGCTTAGCTGGGAGCACTAGGGTACGTTTTGGAGGCGCAGCATTTTTTTTGGCTCAAACCATAGACTTCGTGGCAGGATGAAATGGTGACTGCGTAGGTTCTAACCGTACTGAACGCCAGACCTCTGTCCGTGAGCAGCTGGAGGAACAAAAGCACCACCGGCAGCTGACAGCTGCAGCATCCAACTCCTGGTCCAAACACCAGTGTTGGAACGCCAACCATTTGGAGGTGTAAGAGGACTGAGTGGATGGTCGAGAGACCTAAATCCTCTAGGAGTTATCCGCAGGAGTTATCCGCTTATCGGCCAGCCCCAACTCCTGACCGGAGTTAACACGGCTGACCCGACAGCAGTTGCTGGAGGCAGGGAAACCAGGACGCCACAGGGGGTGCGCAAAGGCGTCCACCCCAAGTGGGGAGTCGTCCTGCAAGCTCAATGAAAACCACAGGGCACACTGAGCATTGTCTCGTTTAGCAAAAAGATCCACCTGTAACACACTTAACCTGAGCCAGATCTGGGCTATCAGATCAGGGTGAAGGCGCCACTTGTCTGGGTGAGGGCCCCCCCTTCACATGATGTCTGCGGCCACAACAGCAGCCGCCTGGCCAGGCTCAACAGCTGCGGCATGCACACCCCGCCCTGGCGGTTATGTAGGCTGCTACAGCCTTGGTGCGGACCAGCACCTGCGGGTTCCGCAGCAGAGGGGCAAAGTGTTGGACCACTTTCCACGCCGTGAGAAGCTCCAACACGTTAATGTGGAGAGGCATGTGTGCCTGCTACAGACCCCCCACCACCTGAGAGAGGCAGGTCCTGCCCTAGCCCATCACGGAGGCGTCTGTACAGACCAAGATATGGGATGTGGCCCTGCCCAGGGGGACCCCGACTGACAGAGAGAGGGGGTCCCGCCAGTAGGCTGGATTCAAAACCAGACAGAGGAATGGCAACCAGGCGCTGCTTCTGTCTCACTGGGTCCACATTCAGGTGGATGAACCACTACTCCTCATGTACAGGAGGTCCAGGGGGACCAACACCTGAGCCACCGACATGAGGCCTAGGAGCCTCATGACCGAAAGCGTCCTTACCACCCATAAGTAGTTACCACCACATCCTCTATCCTCTAGCCATGACGGAACATTGTACGGCCTGCATGTAAACCTTTTGTTCCTTCATGGAACTTGCGAGCTGTTTTGAAGGCATGCTCAGAGTTGCCTTTCGAACCCTTGGAGTGTACTAACTTAACTAACTAACTTAGAGTGCTCTCTCTCAAAACTATCCTGGTGCTGGCACTGACGCCAGCCAAACCAATATGTGAATTACATGCAACCTGTATGCTGTTTTCCCCTAACTGGGAAGTTGATGTTGCGCCCTAACCATGGCCCTAACCCTCCTTTTGTGCCAAAGGTTAGCGAGTGTATAGCTTCCCCAGGCTGGAGCTACTGGCTTTACACCCACCACCTTTTGCAGAGGAGAGTGGAAGGCAGCTTAATTCACTCTCTTCCGTAAGAGCCTCATGCATCTATTTGAACAGGGCTAGGGGATTTAGGAAGAGTATCTTGGGCACCTTCAAACAGAGGTAAGGCTCTGACACACCAGCACCTGTCACACTGGGTGGTCGAGGCTATAATAAATGATAAATATTCTGCTTACATGTGTGGAGTATGTGCAAGAAATACACTTGAGAATGGCAGGTAGGGCACTGGGGGCATTTATAACGGGGAATGGGCTGGACTGTACAACTCAAGATGATTGGTCTGACTCCTGACAGACGTAGTGGTATTGGAGCTTCCATGATTGGTCACAGCAGAAGGTGCTTCCCATAGTGAGATATCTCACTCAGTTTTCAGAGAACTGGAGCGTCCCTTGTAACCAAATGGTTTCTTGCGTACTGGTGAGCACAGAAACTTTTACTACTTTTAAACTACAACTAATGTGGAACAGCTAAAGCCATTTTATTGTTTCAATTTATCAACCTCCTTGTCCAGCAGGACAGTTTTTGTCTGAGTTTACCAACTGACTTCTATTATTAAGCTAAACAAAGTGTTAGTTAGTGATTTTAACCTGCACAACAATGACACCACAAATTGTGTAAATTGTGTACATTTTTATTCTGCTCATTCACTTTGCAATAATTGCAATGATTAATAATAACTATAATTATTACAAGGCTATTTATAAAAAACATTCTTACTTTACAGCATTTTTTGACACCTGTCTAAAGCTGTTGCTATACTGCACAACGTTAAGCAATTCTGACTCTAGCAGAGCCGAGGTGGTGTGGTGCACTTGGCTATCCATTCCAAACGCGTTTTTTGTGTGCAGAGTTTCAAGTTCATTGGTTTAAAGTTGAAGGAATGGAAAATTGTGGTACTTACATGAAGTAGATGGGGTATCCGCCTTCAAAATACCAGCAGTACTTTTTGGCTTCTACACACTGTAAAACAGAAAGGCAATTATTAAAAACAACTGAGACCAACAGAAGTTTAAGGCTGAGCATTCATTGGCCTGAAAGCAAACACCATTTTCTACTGAGACGAGGAACAGAGACATATTGACACATCAGCCACTTTTAGCTAGCATGGATGGCCACGACTCTCGCCACAGAAGGGTCTGGCTGGGTCTGCACTTCCTGGACCCAAGGCTGCAACGGGCCTTTAGGTGCCAAGTCCATGGATGTCCAAGAGAGAAAAGGAGATGTCACAGTAAAGCTAATGTTGGATCTCCTTAGCTCATGTGCTGATCGGTATTAGCTACCCAGTTCAATGGAAGGTCAATGAATGAGATATACCTTAGACTGTTGGCTATTTCATTACAGTTGATGAGGGAGCACATACTGTACTTTTGACTGTTAATCAGACATTTCAACTACAGGGAGATGCATACAAGCTAGTTTTGTGCAGCAAAAGCTGTTTTTGCAAGCAATATGTGTAATGTTGGAAAAAATCACCTTTATCAACATAGTACAACAACAAGAATTATATATTATTAAGCGCACAAATAATAATATTAATAATAATAATGATAATAATAATAATACACACACCTGTACAATCAACACTCTTGTCAAAGTAATTTAAGTAAAACATGCCATAATTAACCTTTAATAAACCTTTTTTGGCTTTATGTGGCTTACAACTTAAAATTTTGGAAGGACAATGATGCATAAATAGCTTTACTCAACAACAGCACATCCTGTTTGTGTTCCCTGCACTCTTGTGGCCTAGAGGGTGCACAACACGTAATATTTCAAAACCTCAACGGCTCGCAAGCTCAAAATATTTAAAGGTGCATATTCTGTCATACATGAAAACATTTTTAGAGCAGTATATCCAGCAAGGATCCCCCTGCATCCTTTGTATGTGAACCTTTTCTTTTTCCATTACTGGCTTCAGTTCACGTTGCACAGAGCACCGATAATGTCCGACTGGAGAGTGCCTTTAATTAACAGTATTTGAAATGACCTCCTGAATAAAAATACAGCCTGTTTTTGTAGTGCCATATTGAGGATTTTCAGCCTTATCATTCAGCGCCCTGCAGAGATGCGGTGCAGGATAGACTGAAAGTGTTGAGAAGAAAGAGAGAGGGAAGGTGAGACAGGAGAGGTAAGGAGCCGGTTGAAGGCGAGGGAGAGAGAGGAGAGCATGCTAAATGAAGTGAATCATATTGCAGGAACATGCCTTGCCTCAGGGTGGCAGGCAGAACTTTCCATTATACTAGTATCTAAAAGATAAAACGTTGCACTGGAGCCTGCAAATGAAAACATGCAGTTTTTAGATATGGTTACAAAATTCACGACATTCACTCATATCATGTTGTTATGCACTAAACTCTCTTAACTCATGGTGTTGATTAAAAAAAGGCACTCTGTACAGTGGAAATTAAAAGTAGCACAGTAGTAGCACTTTCTGAGAGCAAATTTGATGTTCCGTCAGCAGGTAAAAGCAGCAGTCAGTGAATCCTCAGTAACATGAACAAACCCCATACCTGTCTGCAAAGTGATATTTTACTACACTGTGGTGTCTGTGGGGATGGGATTTACATGCTGTAGCTCTGTGTTACAGTTATTTTCAGTCATATCAGATTTTTCTTGCCCCGAGAAAGTACCATATAGAAAGCAGGATGTCAGTTTATGTATTGTTGTTACAATTGCTTATTTTATGCTATTAGCATGGCTGTAGGGAATCCACTGCCACTGTCTCTGTCAGTTAGTTGGTCGGTCCAGACTGAAATATCTCAATGACTATTGGAGAGATTGAAATTAAATTTGGTACAGATTTTTATAATGATCCCCTGACCTTTCCTCTAGCGCCACCTGCAGGTCAAAGTTTCACTCATCCAGTAAAATTTCTCAACAGCTCTAACCTTACAGGAATACTCATTTCATTTATTGCCTATTTGTTCTTGTGAATTTTTTCATTGATCTCAATCTCCTTTCTTCCCCACCGCAGCATGGAGAAAAGGCCATTATATGGGTGGTTCTTTTCCGTAGTGATTCTCTTAGCCACGGTTTGCGTTAGCTGGCACGTGTAGTTGTCCGGCAAATGAAAATATCAACAGCCAAAATGTCCAGTGGAAAATATGCCAAATAAATAAATTACATAGCATATTAAATAGCATAATACTGTGTGACCTATTCAGACCGACCTGTCTATTATATTTTTTAGCTCTATTTAGCTTATTAACAATAATTAATTGTTAATTCAATATTGTTAAGGCTATTGGTGCTAGTTGGCCAACACATACCATAGCTTGAGGACCTGCCCACTGATACTGTCTGGCCTTGCTGCTTTCTTGGTGATCACAATAATAGTCATTTAGCTGACACTTTTATCCAAAGCGACTTACTATTCCTATATATGTCAGAGAACCCAGGTCTCCCACACCAAAGGCTTGTGTCTTATCCACTGTGGTGGCTTATCACCACCGACAAACTTGAAGGCCTTCCTGACGTCATACTGAAAGGCTGATAGGAGCGAGAGGTGCACTCACCCATCCATTAACCTCTGCTTCATCTGTTTGTGCTCATTGGCTGCCAATGGCCTCAAAATGAGCATAAAAGTTGTTCAGCACACTAGCTAGAGACTCATCAGTACTTGATAAGGAGGGTTGGGCTTGTAATCTGTCATAGTTCTTAGACTTTGCCACATGCTTCCGGAATTGTAGTTCTTTCTTCCTGTTGTCCCTTAACTGCTCCTCGTCCTTTGTGGGTTGCTGCTTTATAATCGTCCCTACTTTCAGATTTCATCCCTAAGTTGTAGGCTGCAGTACATGTGTTTAACTGAGTATAGTTGCTTCTGTTGCTTAACAAAATTAAATCCACCACAGACTCAGTGAGTCTGTTGATGTCATCCGTGACATCGATGGTGGTGTCCTGGAACGTGCTCCAGACTGCATCATGCAATCAGGCCCTCTGATCAGCCTGATCATTTCCTGAACTCTCTCGTCACTGGGGGCCTGCATCATAGTTTGTTTACATCAGCAAGATGGCTGCATGGTTGCTCTTCCTAAACGCAATTAGCCATTTTTGAATGGCATGCGCCAGTGACTTAGGGTATTTATTCCCCATGTGCGCCACATGAAAGTCAGGCATAAACTTCTTAAGGTAAGGCTGACTGAAGTCTCCAGCAACAATGAGCGAAGCATTAGGATACCTGGTCTGTGAGCACTTCAAGTATTTGCAAAGATGTGACAGGGCAAAATCTGTGCACACCTGGGGTGCAATGTAGACATCTGTGATAATGACCGATGTAAATTCCTCTGTTCTGTCAGATCTGTATACAGAAAAGAGTCATCTGGTTGAATGGCGCTGTCAGGTATTCCAGGATTAAGCCAAGTTTCAGTGAAACTAAGGACATCACAGTTCCTGATATCTCACTGGAACCTGATGCAGGCATAGAGGTTGTCCAGTTTCTTATCCAACGCCTGTACAATGGCTTGCAGGATCCTTTGGCAGAAAAGATTCATCTGGTTTGGATCACAGTCAATGTTTAATCCCTCCACCTTTTAAAATGTTTAATGTTAGAATAATAATATATTTATAGGTTACACTTTATTTGGATAGTCACCCTACAGATTACAGTAAGAATGGTCTCCATGGTGGTTAGTTTCTAATTAGTTAATGCTAAGTACTAACTCATCAATAATCATAACCACTCACGCATAACAACCAGTTCCACTTTTCGAAGGTTTGCTGTTGCACGTCAACCTCTATTTAATGTCCTACCCCATCCAGGCTGTGATTGGTTGGTTCACAAAAAGTGACAGAGACGAGCAACTTTATAAAAAGTTGAACAAGCGTGAACAAAAGGCACCCAATCTCTGTCACCCGAGAATGGGAACTGGTCAGTAGCCTTCTGGTTAATGTAGTTTATTTAGGGCCATATGAACCGCCCAGAGAACCTGATGTGGAGAAAAGAGAACCAGCAGCTTGTGAGAAGTGCCCCTACGCAAGAAAAACTCATGGTACACCAAAGAGTACAGTCATGTGAACATAACTCAACAGTGTAAGAGGCCCTGAGTGACAGCTGGTTAGCCTTCCAGACTATGGGAGGTAACTCCGGTGTTATCAGAGAATCACTAAGCTTGGTTTTATTTTTGTTGGCCAATGTTTGTATTATCATTTTTTTTTGTTTGTTTGCTTGCTGGGATCCAGAAGATAAGTTTTATAGTATGCTTTGTGTTTCTTGTTGCCTGTTGGTACCTTTGAAAAACTTGGTTGTTAGTGATTGTTAGGAAAGATTGAGTGATTGTCATGTACTCAAAGACATGGGTCCTTTGTGCATGCAAATATGCATGTAATTTTTTTGTATGAATATATTGAACATTGAATGATAACATAATTTACATTAAATGATGTCTAAATGAGCTTAATGTTAATCCTTCATTTATTGCATACATTTCAAAAGTGGCCACAGTGGCAGGCATCCCTGACACTGTGTGGAGAGGAGAGCAGCAGGGTGTTATGCCAGGTCAAGCTGGATTGCTGGCTCACAACATGGCAACACAATAGGTTATTTGTCAGGCTTCTGGTGGAGGATGGGTCCATTCTGTGACACTGAGAGTAAACAGCAGAAACAGACACACAGGGAGAGACAGAAAGAAAGATGGCAGGGGAGATGTTAACAAGGTAGAGCTGCAGCAAAAAAAAGCATCCCATCCCCTTTTAAACCCACTCAGTTTAATTCCATTCAATTCAGCTTTATTGGCATGAATGCATAGAACAATATTGCCAAAGCTTAAAATATAATACAAAAACAATTAATTTCATACAGTTAAATAAATAAAACAGTAAAAGTGTGTGTATATATATATATATTATATATACTATATTAATAAACAAAAAATATCAGTATCAAAGAAAAAGAAAAATCAAGTATCAAATGTATAAAACAAATAAACCCACGAAGTATTTATGCTTCATTTATGCTATTTATG